ATTTTGTACCCAGAAGGCATTGCCGGCTACACCCAGAATTCCGAATGGGCGAGAGGGGACTGCGGGAACTGTGGGATAGCTGACCACAGTGCACCGCTTCGAATGTCGACGCTATCACCGTTAGTGTGGACGCACAAAGTCGAATTACTGTCCTTAGTGTGGACACACACGTTCGACTTTGCAATATCGATTACAAAAATTCGATGCAAGTAAAATCGAACTACTCTCGTAGTGTAGACAAGGCCTTACATTTTTTTATGGAGATATCCCATCTCCTAGAACTGGAAGGGACCTTGAAAGGTCATCGAGTCCAGCCCCCTGCCTTCACTAGCAGGACCAAGTACTGATTTTTCCCCAGATCCCTAAGTGGCCCCCTCAAGGATTGAACTCTCAACCCTGGGTTTAGCAGGCCAATGCTCAAACCACTGAGCTATCCCTCCCCCCATTGATTTAACATGGTGTCTACACCGTGCTATGTTGGCGGGAGACACTCTTCTGGCAACATAGCTTCTGCCTCTTGTTGAGGTGGATGAATTACGTTGACAGGAGAGCCCAGTGGTGATGATTTAGCACTGTAGTGAAGACAAGCCCTTTCACTCTTCACCCTGCATAGTTCAATCCGAAGATTTCTCCCTTACTGAAAATACTCGTATAACCATCAGGCAGGGAAGCAGGAAAAGAACAATGAAATCCTGTCCCCACTGAGGTCAATCTGTGTTTTACCATGGAGTCAGGAGTCACCCCTTTGGGTCACAAGTACTCTGTGGTAGCCTAATTCTGCTCCTGTTATGACCAGTCAGAATCTGATCATTAACACCAACAGGAGCAGAGTTGGGCCAATGTTGAGGACTTTTGAAATCCCACCCTTAATTTTCTGTTTAATGTAAACTCGTTTCAGAACATACTATTCAAAGGATGGCCTATGAAAAACTGATTTTTTTAATTGATCCATTTAAAAAAGAATCAAGTTGATAGTGTCCCTTTAGTTTTCCTTGTTCCCAACTTCTACCTCCAGGTACATGGACTAGGTATGCTAGAGAACATTTAGAAATCTCTAGCAAGCGTCAAAATGTGCTTTCCCCCTTGGATTTCAATCTGATTCATGAATAACAACATTTACACTGCTTCTTAAAAATGTGACATCCAGTATTCCTGTGCAATTTTAAATGTACAGATTCCAGACATATTTGTATCTGGTCCTGTAGCAGAGCCAGAGATCAAAGGGATGATTAAAATCTAAGTTCTGGTGGAAGTTCAATCACTTCAAAGTCTGTATGCAGCAGCAGTACGATACAGACATACATAGTTTCTGAAAGTGTGGGGCTAAAATTGGAGCTTTCCACCAGAGGGAAATGAGTCGAGACTTATGTGCCAGCAGATGGCACTCACAAAGCCAGACCAAGGTTTGAGTGCCAAGTCCTCTTACACGATGAACAGGAGTCCTCAAGGGATGTCTTCCTCCCCAAACTTTGGATAATACGGCTGACAGAATTTCCAAACATGGAATACATAATGCCACATCAATACAGCACACAGAGCGATCTTCTATGTCAAAGTCACCCAGAATTAATCGGGTAAAAGTGATTTAAAAAAACCTCTTTTAAACCAAGAGACTCAGATACAGCTCTTCCTTTTTCCATTGTCTCCTTAGTCAATGGTACTTCCCCACGATGAAGGTATGGACGCAACCAGCTTAACTTTATCGTGATTATTTGGAGTTTGTGCTGCTGTTCAGAGGCTCCAAAGATGGGGCCCTGGTCTCAGCTGTAGTCACTGAAGGAACAAAGTGTTCGAGACAGTCCCTGTTCTGAAGGGCCATTCTCATTACAACGTCAATTGACAGATGTAAGGTAGGAGGTGAAAGAGAGAGGGGCAGTGACTTGCCCAAGGCCAAACTGTCCAGCTCTTCTCCCAGCTGGGACTCGTTTTTAATTGGGACCGGCCCACCCTCCGGGTGCAACCAGGTGCCCTAATTGAGCTCCCCAGCTCCAGTTAACTGTTTGAGAGTCAATGTGGGGTTTACACCCATCAGAGGAGCACACTATTAATTCTTCATCTTTGCTCAGTTTCTGCCTTTAGTTCAACTTCAGAGCATGCTGAGTGGGGGTGGGAGAAATAATAAACCACTATGGCTGGTCACAGACAGGATCCAGGATGGCCATCCAGATCTACCAGAATCTCAGCATGATTATTGTTATTCATTTGTTAAGTGTCTGAAGAGTTTCTGGTGCTGTAAAATATAGAGGGAAGAGAAGAACTCTGCCTTGAGGAGCTTAAACTAAGAGAGGAATCCTAAAACCCTTACTCATTTGCAGTCTTTCTTCACAGGACTGGGCCCTCTGACTTCAACGAGATTCCCTTCCGCTGAGCTTTCAGCTGCTTCCCATTTTTCTGAACCACTGCTAACATTTCACAACAACAACTAAACCAACATTTTGTATATACAGCCTTGGACAGAAGGCGGGTTACTGTGCGAACTCTGGGAAGAAATGCAGCAGAATCTCACCGCCTCTGGGAATATGTGCTTGTGAAATAGAAGCTGCACAGACTTCTTTGCTTTCAAAGAAATGCAGCACATTGGGAATCAAGTGTCAGGATTTCCAAGATGGAAGCATTTCACCAATATCTAGGTACACAGATAAAACAAAGAAGAAACAGACAGTCTAAGCTAGCCCAGAAAGGCCATGCTAAATGTATAAGTCTGTAAAGCACCACAGTTTTAGAACACATATAAATCAGTAAGAAGCTTTGTAAACAGACATATTGTTGTTGATTTCAAATTACCCGTTACTCTGAGCAGTGTGTGTTATTTTGCAGGCTCAGCGAAATAAAAACCCGTGTTATTGATCTATAATTAAAAATGAGTTGACATGAGTCCTTTGTGAATCGGTACTCTACAGTACTGGAGATATGCTGGTTATAGATCTCTCCCAAGTGACAAGATGCAGAGATAAATTGACTATTCACATAAAGCTCTCTTCCATCATATTAGCTCTATAAATAGTGATACACTGGGAAACAAAAATCAAGCACTATGTTTGAATATTTAAAAAATGGGGCTTATAATTGATTTCATTGGAATTTCTAATACACCACCCAATTTCCATGCAGGCAATTTGGAAAGAAAAGACTTTGTCTTCTAATTGCTGCTTTTGGAAAACATTTCAAGATTTGGTTATTTAGTGTTTTCTGAGCAATACCTAGAAGAAACTGACTGAAAGTCTCCAAAATACTTTAGCAGGTCTAGCATACTAATTTGGCTACATTGTCATGCAGTATTTTTGCTAGGATTTTATTTTAAAATGATTTATGCTCTTTTTCGCTTTTGCTTTTGCAAACAGCTTTATGTTTCCTGTTCAGGTTTAGCAAAATTGAAAAGCATATTTTCTCTTGTAAAGCTAAGAACACATTTGTTTTGTTCGTCTTCTGACATACACTAGTGACAGCTTCTCTACAGAAAGTCCTTATGATACTATGAGATAAATGCTACACTCAGGGAGATTATTGTATTTAGCTACCCGCAGTCATTGGATCTCTATTCACGTGCCGAGCCGCAGAACTCTTAACACATTCTTCTGTGACAAACACATTTTCCCATGGTACAGATCTGCCTGTGTGAAGGGTTTTTAGATATGGAACAGCATACAGACAGTGTCTCTAATGACCTCGTCCTAACCAAAGCTCAGAACCACTACTCCATCCTCATTCTCCTTGACCTGTCAGCTGCCTTTGACAGTCAACCATATTTCTCTTGAAAATTTGGACTCTTGTCCTCTCCTGGTTCTCCTCCTACCTCTCTAACTGGTCCTTCAGACTGTCCTTTGGAGGTTCTCCTCATGACCCCTCCGTCCTTGGTCCCCTTCTCTTCTTTCTCTACACCTTATCCCTGGGTAATTTCATCAACAAAGACAAATTCAACCACCACCTCTCTACTGACGATCTACAAATCTACCTCTCTATTCCAGACCTGTCTCCTGTCCAAACTAAAATCTCTGCCTGTCTCTGCCAACTCCTTATGGATTCATAGATTCCAAAGCCAGACGGGGCCATTGTGATCATCTACTCTGACCTCCTGTAGAACACAGGCGAGAGAACTCCCCCAAAATAATTCCTGGAGCGGAGCTTTTACAAAAAACAGCCAATCTTGATTTAAAAATTGTCAGCAATGGAGAATCCCACCCTCCCGCCGACCCAGGATGCCAGTCTCCATTGCCCACTTGTTACATTTCCAAAGCAGCACCTTTGTGCTTTCTCACACAATACCCCCCATGCTTCGATGGAGTACCCGTACATAGCCACAAAGCTACTTCATTATGCACCTCAGATCCCTCCCTACAACCCTTCTTTACAGTGATGCCTACACAAAGCTGACAATGGGTAGGCCACGGTTCTCGGGGCACCCAGGATTGTGAGTCACCTTATTATTCTCTGCCCCCAGTGACAGAAAGACTTCTCCTTCACCTTGCAGGTCAACAGTAGGTGCTTCCCAGTCCCCTGGAAACATTCTCCTGTGAGATCCAGCACCTGACACTGGCTACCCACAGAAATCCCAGATCCTCTGCTCCCAAAGGAACAGTGTACCCCAGTTGACCAGTTTTACCTTAAATCACTGCTCCTATAAAATGCACAGCACTTGTGAGCACTTATAATAAAACAAATTAAGGTTTGGCGATTCCACTAGAATCAAGAGAGTGTGATGGAAACAAATAGTTACAATATAAAACACAATAATAAAATGGGAACCAGGACCTACTCTTTTTAACCGTTACCTGTCCTATCTAATAAAATAGGTTCCTCCCCACCCTAAATTCAGTCTGCTGCAGAGCTGGCTGGTTTCCCAGGAATCAGGATACAATTTTTCATGAAATATCCCTGCTGAACAAGAAGTCTCCTCAGTGACTGGACCCAGGGTGTCTTTCACCCTGTGAGATACTGAATCAGTCTTTTGTCTGCATTCAGAGGCAGGACAGGGCCGGCGCTTCCATTTAAGCAACCTAGGCGGTCGCCTAGGTCACCAAGATTTGTGGGGGGCGGCAATTCTGCGGCGGGGGGTCCTTCCGCACTCTGGGTCTTCAGCGGCAATTCTGCAGCGGGTCCTTCACTCGCTCCGGGACCCGCCGCCGAAGTGCCCCGAAGACCTGGAGCATGGAAGGACCCCCCGCCGCAGAATTGCTGACGATGACCAGGAGCGCGGAAGGACCCCCGCCTAGGGTGCCAAAAAGCCTGGTGCCGCTCCTGGACAGGACAATCCCCATTCTGTTTACCTCAAAGTGATTTTGATTGTTTGCAGTTGTGTCTGATGGTTTTCCATTGACTTCTCAGTGGCAAGGATAGACAACTGAGCCTTCCGTTACATCACCAGCTGACTGGGAAGGGGTGACAATAACCCCCCCACACACATTTGAATAGACCACCTGAGACATCAGATCCCCAGGTGACTAAATTTTATTCCAAGTCCATAAGCATAATTTTCAATGTAGTTATATTATTCCTCAGATATTACCTGTACACAATGATGATGAGTACTGATAACTTACAAGCTTTCAGTAGAGATCCCACATGCTACCCTACAGAGAGAAACACCATGAAAGTGGTGTCTTAGGAGTATGAGTTTGTCATGTCTGAGACAGGAGTATCATATAAAGGACAGTTCACCTTGGCCAGGGACACCAGAGGACCCCTGTGTCACAGTGTGCTGATACCACACCTATTATGCTGACCCGTATGGTCTCATTTCTGCTCCCCCATTGGTTTGTGTGTGTCCAGCTGCTAGATCTTATCTTATACCTAGATTGTTAGCTCTTTGGGGCCAGAACCATCTTGCTGACTGTGTCTGTACAGCACCCAGCACTGTGGAGTCCTGGGCCTTGACTGGGGCTCCTAGGGGCTATGGCAATACAAATAATAAGAATAAAAATTAGCCAGCAGCCCAGAACCTGGATCTACTCTTAAGTTTACTGGCCCAGATTCTCAGGCCAGCTCCATCACTAATGGCTCCTTGTGTTCTCATCGGCAGCTACTGGGTGTGGAGGACTTTTGAAATTCTGGGCCCAACTGTGGGCACCGTGTACTGTGAAAATTGACCCATCATGTTCATTCAGATGCCTTGTTCCGATTGCCAAACGCAAAACAGCCTTTCTATGCATGTTACCTGAAATTTTCAAAGCTGACGAGGGGATTTTGGCACACCATTCCAATTGAAATTAACAAATGGTGTGGCTAAATCCCCAAAGCAACTGTCAAAATAGCAAAGTGATCAGTATCATTTCAAGAAATGCTGGTTACTAATTTGGACTAGCATTTTCTGAATCCCATTTGGTGTCTGTTGAAAGATGAGGCTCCCAACAGCTAGAATGAAAAATTATCCAGTGACCCTGGTCAATATTAAATGCCAAGTACCACAAATTAGGTTGAAGATACTGTAATACTTTTGCTGGGTTATTCTTCAGATGATGTTTGCCATCTTCAAGTATTTGAAAAGAATGCAGTAGGCATTGCAACATTTTGTGGCATGCAGCACTTTCCTACCACATAGGGGTGTTGTGAAGGGTGTTTCATTACAGAGTGTGAGGCGCTCAGGTATTATCATGATGGGCTCCACATACGTACCTAAAATAGACAGACTGTATTATTTTGATATTATTTATTTAAAGAGACATACATGTATTTTACTCAAACTAATGTCTGCCACTATAGCTAAAAGACAAAATGTACAGAAGCAAGGCATACATACATTATGTATATAGAGCAGACAAAATACTGCCATTCTTAGGCTACTTAATGTATATTACAGGGCATCTCTAGAACATATACATCGCCTACACAATTGCTATTTTACATTTGGTACAACTGCTATACAGCAAAATTTGGGGGGAAATGACATTTTTATATGGAAAATGTGTTTGTCTCAGTTACACAGAGCAGTTTTGTACACACTTAGCATAGTGTGAAACCATTCTTTTTCAGATACTATTTTTGCACCACTTTCCCGTCTGTTGTTAATTAAGTGGCTCAGGGTCAGATCCTCTTCTCTCACCAAAGTGCACTTGCCCCAAAAGCATAACAGAGGGCAAAGGTGGCATTAAGCTAGATTTTGGCGCCTACTGTATTTCTGCCAGTAGATATGCCAAGCCAACACTGATCAGATAAAAGTGCAAATAGTTCTATGGAAAAACCATGAACTTCTGAAATGAGAATCTGTTAAGCAATTTTCAGGTGATACAGGACAAATTGGATGAGTGATGTGCTGTGACAAGAATACTCCTTTTGACCAAATGACATTCCCTTTTGAAGCTCCACTATCTAAAATGTAGCAAACATGCAGATCTGACTTCAATCGAGTTAGGCACTTTTGGGCATATGGGAGAAACGTGAGGAGCATCATTCCAAACCACAACACACCTCACAAGTCATTTTTCAGAGAGAAACACATGTGGATCCCACAGAGTTTTTTGCCCTACAGTATGCATGGGGCTATGGACTGTAGGTGGTAGCCTAATTAAATTTTGCTGAGAGAGACTTTGCAAGCATTTTCATTGTACATTCTGCTTGGGGTGCTAAGCTTAAGCATCATTAAATTGGCACAAACATGACTGCAAAATAAAGCTAAGACATTAGAGATGGGAAAGACCCCTCGTCCAGACTCCCTGCCAGTCCAGGATTGTTCCCCACGGTATATTCTCAAATGCTTTGTCCAGTCTTGTTTTACTTTTTTTTTTTTTGTCTTCTTTTCTTATTCTTCTAATTCATCCATGATTAGAAGCTCGTTAACACTCCCACAAAACAACATCCAAGGCAAATGCCCCAGTCCCAGGCTGCAAGCTCATTTGGAGG